TGAGGTTACAGTTCTAGTATATATAGGAGCGGAGGTATTAGTAAGCCTTTGGCTTACAGTTCTGGTTTATATAGGAGCGGAGGTATTAGTTAGCCATTGGCCTACAGTTCTGGTTTAAAGAGGAGCGGGTGTATTATTTAGTTAGCCTATAAACGGTGTCCCGTGTAGGAGGGTCCAACCTGCACGTAAAATATCCCTCTGTGTATTGTCGAAAGAGTAGGCGCGTTAATGCCGACACAGAGGATAGAGATTAGATTACATTTATTCTCGACGATTCGACGGATTTCAAAAATATAGGAACAAAACAAAACACAAAATAGAGTAGGATATAAGTAAAGGACAGCCTGGATACGGTAAGCCCTCCTCCTAGACCAACGCCATGATATGATACGACCGGTGATCTCCCCATCCTTTTTTATATAATAAAAATTCCAATAAGACACATATAGTATAACCCCAACAACTTATAGACCCCCATAAGACCATCTACTAACAACCATTTTTTATTTTTATTTTTTTTATTTATTTTCTTAATAAGACATACAATGTACACCAAAGAATTAAGGGTAAATATATGCATACACCATAGGGACCCCTCGGATAATCTCTAACTCCGGCCAAGTCTGACAAGGAAACAAAGTACTGTACCTAACGGAAGCAGAGACGTTTCCCTACTGTCGGGCTCAACCGGCAGTTAGAGACCCGAGGTACATAACAAATATATAAGAACAGGAATATATGCAGTAAATACACTTTAAAAATAAACAAATATTCTTATTTTTTATGTACATATATATATATTAATATAAGCCACATAAGCCAATTTTGAATCCCCTCAACGACACAAATACATTAGTAAGGATCAACAATCACTGATAATTCATCCGGCAAGACACACCATTTCGGACCAAGGAGTCGTCTCCAAATTACACCACAAGATAAGGATAGGATAGAATAGACGACTCCAAACCACCCCCCGAGGGAAGGCAACTTCCCTCACGCCGACTGAACACATGACTTCCGTCAGTGAGATGAAACCCGTAAGGGCGGAATCATGTAGGCGCGAAACCCGTCATCGATCCATCAAGTTAGCCTTTGGCTTACAGTTCTGGTTTATATAGGAGTGGGGGTATTAGTAAGCCTTTGGATTACAGTTTTAGTTTAAAATAAAGTACATTATACATGTATTTTTTATACATATATAATCAATTTTATCAGATGATTCATGATTTTTTTTTTTTTGCATGAGATATTCTATTCAACAACTTAGTCAAACATGTACACAGCACAAGCTTTATACAACAGTAAAATTCATTTTTACTCAATATTAAATTCGCCCTTCACATATTATCATGTATATTATGTTATTTACTTATAAATTTTTCCCTCATTAGGGAGGGATAAAAGTTGAAATTGCCTGCAGCAAAAATGGCAGGTTAATTGAATTTCCATTGTAAGTAAATGACCTACTATCACAACGATAGAAAGTTGTGTTTCAATAACACGAATCTATATTTCTATTTTATGTGAAGATGCTCCAGATGTAGAGTTGTCAGTTCAGAATGCCACGGAACACGATACACATTTTGTGATGACCTGTTACGCGTCAGGTGTTCCAAACGTTTACACTTACGGTGTTTGGACACATATGTACGGCACAACTCTTGTCAGGACCCTCACAGGTGACGTCACGACTCATGGCAGGACCCTCACACTCACCAGCGTGTCATACCAGGACAGTGGAACTTACACCTGTCACGTACACAACTCTATCAGGGGGAGGGATGGTCAGCTGATACAGACAGGATCGGCTGTCTCTGATTTCAGAGGTAAGATTGATAAAGTTATATTAGAGGTGTGATTATATATTTGACCTATGACAGTGTATCATGTGCACACTTTCCTAACATATTTTTATCTCACCTGGCACAAAGTGCCAAGTGAGCTTATGCCGTGGCGCGGCGTCCGTCGTCCGTCCGTCGTCCGTCGTCCGTCCGTCCGTCCGTCCGTCCGTCCGTCCTCGTCCGTCAACTTTTCCTTTAAACAACTTCTTCTGAAGAACGGACAGGCCTAGAGTCATGATATTTGGCTGAAAGCTTCGTTGGTAGAAGCCCTACAAAGTTTGAGAAAGAAAATGACCTTGACCTGTTTTCAAGGTCACAGGGGTCAAATATGTCAAAAACTTCAAACGACTTCTTCTAAAGAACTAAAAGGTATAGAATCTTCATATTTGGCTGATGGCTTCCTTGGATGGAGCCCAACAAAGTTTGAGAATGAAAATTACCTTGACCTTCTTTCAAGGTCACAGGGGTCAAATGTGTCAGACACTTCAAACGACTTCTTCTGTAGAACTGAAAGGTATATAATCTTTATATTTGGCTGGTGGCTTCCTGGGATAGAGCCCAACAAAGTTTGAGAATGAAAACTAGTTTGACCTACTTTCAAGGTCACAGGGGTCATATATGTCAAAAGCTTCAAATGACTTCTTCTGAAGAACTGAAAGGTATAGAATCTTTATTTTTGATTGATGGCTTCCTTGGATAGAGCCCGACAAAGTTTGAGAATGAAAATGACCTTGACCTTATTTGAAGGTCACATGAGGCAGATATGTCAAACACTTTAAACGACTTCTTCTGAAGAACTGGTAGTTATAAAATCTTAATATTTGGCAGGTGGCTTCCTGGGAAAGAGCCAAACAAAGTTTGCGAATGAAAATGACCTTGACCTACTTTCAAGGTCTCAGCGTTCAAATATGTCAAACAGTTCAAACAGCTTCTTCTGAAGAATTAAAAGGCATAAAATTATAATATTTGGCTGGTGACTTCCCGGGATAGAGCTCACCAAAGTTTGCAAATGAAAATGACCTCAACCTACTTTAAAGGTCACAGAGGTCAAGAACATTTCAAAGTATTTGACCTGAAGAACCAAAAGGAATGGATTCATAAGATTTGGCTGGTAGCTTTTGGAATAGAGCTTACCAATTTGAGAAGGAAAATGACATTGACCTACTTACAATGTCACAGGGAAAAATATGTCAAGCAACTTCTGAAGAATCAAAAAGCATAGAATCTTGTAATAATATTTTGCTGGTAGTTTCAACAGATGGAGCCAACAAAGTTTGTGAGGGAAATATTTTTAGTGCAATATAATATTTAATGAGAATATTTTGCTATGACTGCTTAAATATTCAGGTGAGCGATACAGGCCCTCTTGGGCCTCTTGTTGTTTTTTGTCACTTTGAATAACATTTCATGTTCATGTTAAAAACAAAATCAACTTTCTGTATGAATATATCAGGTGACCGTTAAGGCCCATGGGCCTCTTGTTACTTAAAGTAGGGTCAAATTTGTTTAAACTTTTGCTCAAGTGACCTATTCCAATCACTTTCCGTCCGTCGTCGTCCGTCGTCCGTCGTGCGTCAACTTTTACATTATCAACTTCTTCTCAAGAACCAGTGGATGGAATTTTTTCAAACTTGGTCAGAATCATCCTTGGTAGATGAGGCTACCAAATTTTAAATTGGGATTCCTACCCCAACCCTAGGGGCCAGGGCGGGGCCCAAATAGGAAAATTCACCAATATTTCAAAAATCTTCTTCTCCAGACTCAGAGGTATTACAGTTGTTTTCTCTGCATGGATGGAAAGATCATCAGGGGCTCTATTTAAATTGTAAATTTCAGGACCCCCGAGCTATCCGTTCTCCCTTGGAGAGGGGGTAAAGTTTACAATAGTTTATATAGGGAAACAACACTTTTGGGTATATTTTTGACAATTTTCTGTTGGAAATTATTTTTACTTGGTCAGAATCATCCTTGGAGGAGGAAGATGGTTTTAAATTGTAAAATTGAGATTCCTACCCCAACCCCAGGGGCCAGGACGGGGCCGTAAAGAGAAAATTAACCAATATTTCAAAAATCTTCTTCTCCAGACTCAGAGGTATTACAGTCATTTTCTCTGCATGGATGGAAAGATCATCAGAGGTATTACAGTCATTTTTCTCTGCATGGATGGAAAGATCATCAGGGGCTTTCTTTAAATTGTAAATTTCAGGACCCCCGAGCTATCCGTTCTCCCTTGGGGAGGGGTTAAAGTTTACCATAGTTTATATAGGGAAACAACACTTTTGGGTATATTTTGACAATTTTCTGTTGGAAATTATTCTTACTTGGTGAGAATTATCCTTAAAGGAAGATGGTTTTAAATTGTAAAATTGGGATTCCTACGCCATCCCTGGGGCCAGGGCGGGGCCCCAAAGGGAAAATTAACCAATATTTCAAAAATCTTCTTCCCCAGACTCAGAGTCCTATACTACAGTCATTTTCTCTGCGTGGATGGAAAGATCATCAGGGGCTTTATTTACATTGTAAATTTCAGGACCCCCGAGCTATCTGTTCTCCCTTGGGGAGGGGGTAAAGTTTACTATAGTTTATATAGGGAAATAACACTTTTGGATATATATTTTATCCATTTTCAGCAGAAAATTACTAAAACTTAGTCAGAATCATCTTTGGTGAATGAGAGTATTACTTTGGAAAATTGGGACTCCTGCCCCATCCCCAGGGGCTAGGGCGGGGCTCCAAAGGGAACATTTACCAATATTTTCAAATTCTTATCCTTTGATGACATGACAAGTATTTCACTTAGTTTACATGCTGATTTCCACATCACATCTAAACAATAAAATAAAGCTACCAGTACCTAT